AGCTAAGAAAAAGAAGGTAAGTAAAAAAGGTAATCATAATGGCCAAGCTGAAAAAAGGGTGAGGAGCCATGCTTGTCAGCGGGATCTTCTTTCTAAGTGGAGGAGATGGAAATTGCTTTCAGCCACTTTCGACCCGTTACATTGGCAGGTTTCTTTTGACCCATTACAATGGCAGGTGAGGTTAATTCCTCTTTCACACCATCAAAGTCTTCTGTTCTATGTGACCACGTGAAGGTCAATGTTGATGGTATGAAGAATGTATTGGCCAAAGAAATACAGACAGCTAGGCAGGAGTCTTTGGAGGCGAAAGGCCAGAAAAAGAAGTTCACTGAGGCTGAACTCGAGGCTAGGGTGAAGGAGGAGTTTGAAAAGCTAAAGGTAAAGGCTGCTGAAGCTAAGAAAAAGAAGGTAAGTAAAAAAGGTAATCATAATGGCCAAGCTGAAAAAAGGGTGAGGAGCCATGCTTGTCAGCGGGATCTTCTTTCTAAGTGGAGGAGATGGAAATTGCTTTCAGCCACTTTCGACCCGTTACATTGGCAGGTCACTCTTTTTCTTTTACACCCTTTAATTCATCTGTTCTAGGTGACTACGTCAAGGTTAACGTGGATGGAATGATGAAATTACTGTATAAAGCAGTGCAGGCAGCTAGGCAGCATTCTGTAAGGAGAAGGCTGAAAAAGAAGTCCACTCAAGCAGGACTTGAGGTTAGGGTGACTGAGGAAGTGGAAAAGCTGAACGCAGTGAATGCCAATGAGACTGCTCATTACTGGTATGAGAAAATCTTAAATTTGTTGGTCATTATTAATTTTAAAATTTTGTAAATATTTCAGAAAAACAAATAAAACTTTAGTTGCTGCTTTGTGTTCTTTCATAGATTTTACATGTACAAGACGTTGATAGACCTGTGGAGCATTTTGTCTCTAACGTAATTATAAAAGACTATTTAAAAGCATTTTACATATGATAATTTTATGAATTTTTCTAAAAATTAATAAAAAAATTAGTCTTAATCTTCATGACCTCGGCAAATGCTGTCGAGACCCAATTGCATGCCGTCCGTGAATTGTCCCGTCAGCTCGTGAAGGCAGTTGGAAATGCCCGTGCCGAGATTGATATGAACCGTTGGGAGAGTACAATGCTGAGTTCGTTCAGGAAATGTTGGTTGTTGAAGCTGCTGACTTTTCTCATTATTTATAATATTTTCACACACCTACACACACAATTCAAAAATTAGAGTAAAGAGTCCATTTACATTTTAAAAAAGTTTGTTGATAAATTTAAAAAAATAAAAATCCAAAAACAATATTATCTTAAGTTCCGATTTAGTATGTAATCTTGAAGAAATAATAATAGCTACTTTAATAATTAAGGTACTCGATGGATTTGAGTCTCAGAGTTGTCTTTAGGTATGGTCTTACTTTTTTCATTCAAAAATATCAACAAATCGGTCTAAGCATTTTAAGCTCATGGCAGTTATTGTTTCACGCTTTCGCACGCTCCCTACAGGTGCCACAAAAAATATAGAAACCTGATTCAAAATGTAAAAACTTCTATAGGCAAAAAATCGTAGCAACTTAATATAATAAAATAATTTAAAATAAAAATATGTATGAAATTGTAAAAAGGAGGAATTAAAAAGGGGAACTAAAATTCATAAAATTTTAAAAAGTTATAAAAAGTGGTTAAGTCAAAGAAAAAATATTGACTAAAAATTGAAAGGATATATAAACTTGCGTGTATATTATTTTGTTTCTATGTGATGACTATGCCAAATGCGTCGCCATCTAATTAGTGGCGCACATGAACCATACCATGCAAGTTGTGCTTGGCCACACCGTGCAGATTGAGGATTGACGAAGGTGGTGGAGAGAGACACAGTGTTCCAAATATCGTATGCTACTAGGCGTAAGCTTTGTTTGACTTTCCATTCACCGGCCGTGTGGCTACTCTACGTTGCTTACGAATGGTAATGAGGCGTAGAGGTCCAACGAATTTGCAGTGTTAATGTTATTTGAGTGCTTGTGCGTCTCGATCCACAGTGTTCCAAATATCGTATGTCACTGGGCTGCTTGTGAAACGAGTAATTTTGCCCGGTCTCTTGCACTTATAGATCAGTGGCGAGATGCTTGTGGAGCGCTTCAGCTTTATATTTATACCCAGTGAAGCTTGGAAAGATTGGAAATTGGAAAAACCAAAAAGATTGGAAAAACGAAAAAACATTTTTAAACATAAGGCGATCCGAATAATGCAAAAGCTTAGATTATTGCAAAAGCTTACTAATAAATGAATATACTTACTCTTGTCAATAGATATAATTTAGACAAAAGGGATCAGAATAAATTTCTTGACAAATTCAATCTAAACACCTGTTAGGCTTATATTTGATTTTTCAGATAAAATTTGCCTGAAAAATGAGATGAGCTAAAACTGATCTCGAAAAGAAATTTTTTGCCAGATTAATAAATATTTATCAAAATCTAGTGAATAAATGTTGATTAAATATAAATAAATCCATTGTTCAAGCATTTAGAATAAAGCTAACTATAGTAGGTTGGGGATGTGTTACAACTAGTGTTCGGCAAATGGATTTTCCCAATACCAATACAAGTAGTACCGAAAAATACTTGTATTGAAAAGCACCGACGAAAAATTTTCGGTAGTACCGCGTTACTTCGATACTAATGTAAATTGACAAATATGCGATAATATCATTGTTTAAGCATTTTTTGAGTTATTTAAACAGCATTAAATCTAGGAGACGAGTATACAACCGAACTGTGCCGAACACTAGTTACAACTGAAATATGTACATACAACTCTCGATTTATATCTACTCAATTTAACGAATCCTTCTTACTTTTGGCTTGCTATATCGAGAGTCGCTTGTATAAAATAAATACATTTTAGTACAAAGTTGGGTGTTTTGTCTTTAATAATCTCATCATTTCAAACACTTGTTCTCCCTCATTTTGTATTATTGGTGTCATTTTTCTGAACAAAAGTAAGAGTCCATTTGTTTCTGTAACCATTCTTAACACTAGTAACGACAGCTTCAGCAACCTTGTCCATCGAATTATTTGCTCCAATTGGGCAATATAATCCAAAAGTTTCATTTTTATAAAAATGTTTGGCAAAATCCTTTGAATGAACCCACAAGGGATAATTGGAATTGCAACTGATGACGTCATTTATTTTGACGCATGATGGCAGAATACCATTGATTCCAAAGTCGGGTGCTGTTATAATTTAAAGTATAAATGCTTAAACGAAAAAACTTATGTGCTTTATCACAACGAAATATTACTACGGAATAAGCGAACTATGCAATGGTATATGTTACCAACACGGTACTATCGCATTATCCGCACCCCAATTTTTCTTCCAGCTCGCAGTTTTAATTTTCGACATCGTTATCTAACCTTCGTCCTAAAGCTTTAGCATTAAAAGGATTATAAAGGAGGAGAAAACTAAAAAAAGAAGAGAGAAAAGTTGAGGTCGTGTGGTTTAACTCATCACATACAGGAGCTCTACCAGTAAGCTACCAATGCATAGTTTAACCCCCGCCTAAGCGTTTTAAATGCTGCTAGGTGATCATCCTTACAGTATTATTCCTGTGAGAAAGCACAGTTGTTAGTTGTCTTCATTCCTCACAATTTTCGTTATCAAAAGCAACTTATAGTAACCATGACTGTAATAATATATTCCGAATTGGCTAGTTTCGGATAAATTTACTTTAATTTCTTAACTTAATTTAACTCCAATTTTTAACACAATAGAAAGTTTATTTCTTAATGTAACTAACAATTTATTTATTAACGATTAGCTGGGAAATGAAAGAATAAGGACTTTAACTGAAGAGAACTGAACAATAATAACTGAACCGATTATAATTAAAAGGAAAGCGATATTTATAGAGAACTGATTAGTAAGAGTTTGTGTAAATTATAGGAAAGGAAACTGGTCTTTTCCCAGATAAATAGGCTGCTGGGAACGATTAAGAAGATAAAATTATATAAATTTTACAAAGCTTGAGAAATTAGATTTCGCATTTCCTTTCGAAATGCGACAAATATTACCTATTTTGCAGTCCAAAACGTTTCCAATATTATTTAAGATTAATCCAGGAAGAACAAGTGCCCCAACGACAACAACTCTAATCCAGGTAGGACAGCAGCAACAACAAGTGTCGGTTTGATCACTAAAATTTGGCAAATTCTCTGTTGTTGCAGCTACAGGAGGTGGATTTGCTTGTAATAATTTCCTGTTGGGCTTTTTGATAGCACCACTGAATATTTTGTTAATTTTTATTTAAAAATTTAATTAATAACCTCTTCTGTTTTGTGCTAAGATGAGTTGTATCAATCACAACTTAATAAATTAAATTAATTTTTCAAGTAGTAGCTATTTAGTAAATACATATTAAGGGAGCGGGTGCGAGTTCGCCTATTTTTTTTAAAATTTTTACACCGTAAAAATGGTCAGAGGGAAAAGTTAGGTTAGTCAAAAAACTACATACTTCTTGGTTTGTAGACTGAGTCTAACTGATTAACTGATACTTAGAATAACTGATTCTACATACTTCTTGGCTTAATGCACAGTCGGACCTACAACAATGCCCCGAATAAAAGATACACACCATTTTAACATATTTTTGGTTAGCCACTGGGCGGGGGTTTGTTTATTAGGTATGTTTATGCGATTAAGATACTCTTTTTAAATGCAGGCTCTGCTCTATACCTTCCTCAACGCACTCTTCTTTACAAGCTTCTTTACATTGCTTTTCAATTTTTGTCTTACTCTCAGTTTTAGCAAACATTTTCTTTTGGGTTTCTTCTGTCAGCCCTTGCAAAACAGAAAATCTATTTGAATTATCCACTTTTCCTGTTTTTCCTAGACCGGTGGTTTTTCCTTTTGTCGAGCTTGTTTCTCCTTTTTTCGAAATTTTTGGATTTTCATAGAAAGGAATATTCGAGTATTTTGCACCATTAACATTTTCATACGATGCCGGAGCGATTTCGCCAACATTTGTTGCTGTTTGATGAATTTGAGCAACATTTGACGGCAAATTTGCTCCTTTAAAAAATTTAAATATAGTCGGAACTCAGTTGTATGTTATTCATTTTTTGACCTTTACTTTTTCCCACTCCATGTTGTCCGTATGTATTATTATTAGAGGTTCCGAAAGCCTCTAATAAAAACTTCCAATCTCTCCCCACTCTCACCAATCTACCGCCTCCCAATTCCAAATACCCATTCCTGCCATATCAACCCTAAAATACCCACCTTCAATCCCTTCAACAACCAAGTAGAGGAATAAAATAAATATTTTTAAATTCATTCTGAAAAATATTTCAATTAAAGTTTAGTAAAGTCTCCCGATTTAATGTTACTTCGGCCCTCTTACGTTACCATAACCCTTTTAAGAGGAAAATTTCAAATAAAATTTTTATTTGAATTAAATAGTTAATAAATCTGTTAATCCCTTAAAGATAGAAATTAAAAAATAAATAAACACAATGAGTAAGGGGAGGTTAAACCGCCTTTTATTAAGTAATTTTGAGAGGGAAATCTTACTTATGACTTTGGGAAACACAAAAAGGGAGAAAAAAAAACAAAAAGGGCATTTTTTAAAATCAAAAGGGCAAATGCATAAGACAGGCACAAATTAGATAGAAAAATTAAAAAAAGGACAGGCAAAAAGGGCAAATTTTTATAGCGCCTTTGAATAAATCAAAAAGCCGATTTTTGTCATATTAAGAAATCATGCTGGTTGACTTTTAATAATATTAAAAGTGCAATAAAAAAATTTTTAAAAGTGCAAATATATTTCTTAACTTTTAAAAGAGAGTTTTTTTGATAAAAAAATTATAAATAATAAGAGTGTTGGGATAAATAAAAAAAGAATTAGCAATTTTCATTGACTTTGAAGAAAGTTATGGCAAAAACATCGGAAGTAATTCTACAAGGGGAGAAAAGAATCACGCGAGAATTTTTTTCAAGCTTTCCCTATAACTTCTCTTTTGCAAGGCTCTTTGGCAGTAAAGTTGGCAGATGCGGATAAGCCGATTGTTGGAGTCAAAAAATATAGCGCATAAAGTGATTTTACTTCAATTTTTGTGTTTTTGATAAATTTTTTGGAGACATTCTAAGACTGAACTAAAGACATTCTAAGACTGAAATCCATAAAGTACCTCAATTCTTGAAGTACCTATTATTATTTATTCACGATTACATACTAAACCAGAACTTTTAGATAATATTGTTTTTGGATTTTTATTTTTTTAAATTTATCAATAAACTTTTTTTAAAATGTAAATGGACCCTTTTCTCTAATTTTTGAATTGTGTATGTAGGTGTGTGAAAAATATTATAAATAATGAGGAAAGTCATTTATAAATAAAAGAGAAAAGTTAATTTTTAACTCACTTTTTCATCACACGAACAAAAATACACACTGGATTATGTATCCTTTCAATTTTTATTCAATATTTATTATTCAATATTTATCCAATATAATTTCCTTTTTTAAAATTTCATACATGTTTTTATTTCAAAATAGATTTATTAAATTAAGTTACTGACGATTTTTTGCCTTTAGAGATTTTTACATTGTAGATGAGGTTTCTATATATTTTCGTTTGTGGCACCTGTAAGGATCGGGGGCGACAAATACTGCAATGAGGTTCATAGCAGTTGGAATAACTTTGCCGTAGAGACAAGCATTACTAGCGCCAGAAAGACCCCGTCTCATTGTCGAGTAAGAAATCGTAAAAAAGTAAATTAAATCGGGAGCAAAAAAATCAAAATTTAAAATGCAAAGAATATTAAATGGCAAAGAAGAAAAGAGAAATTATGTAAAAGGTTAAAGAGGACATGTGTTGAAAAACTAAAATGATTCCTAGATCCTAGGAATCACTGGATTCCTAGATCCTAAAACACGTATATTACAGAGGTTGCTGCATCGGATCGTGCAACGAACAGCCTTATTATAAAAAACCAGTTGAAAATAGTTTATAACTGCAGTTTATTGCCTTTAAGCTAGGTTTCAGAGGTATCGGGTTTAATTCATAAAATTTATACTATATACCGGAATTTTGTACTATTCCGTATTCCGTAACATTGTATAATAAATATATACGGTAGTACGTTCTCTAATCATAACACTAGTAAAAATTTGACAAATCTTGTTTAAAATTTATCGTAACAATTTTAAAATAAGAAAACATAATTTAATAAAGAAAATAAAATTTAATAAAGGTTAGTTTGGAAATAAATGATTAAAGTTGCCGAAAACTGAAAGAAGATAGGCCTCCGGGGAGAAAAAAGTTCCAGTTAGGCTGAACCAAAAGGCAGCAACTGGAACAAAAAAACCCCAGACAAGTCAGATCTCGCTTAACATCTTTAGGGTGCGTATAAACTGCGAAAAGAATAATTATGCATCTGATTTATTTGAATTTGGATCTAATGGGACTCTCACTATCTTTTACAATTTATGCGTCCTATGTTAAATTTTCGGTATTTTTGGATGGTTGATCTGAAATGTCGGTCTTCAAAACTCGTTACAACATTCCCTATATGAGGCAAAAATTTGTCTACAAACACATATCATTTGTCACGGTTACAAGATGAAAAGTATCAATGTTAACCCCAACCTTAAACCCAAAGACAAACCAATATTCAACTTTAAGTGACGCATAAACTGTGAAGAGAAAAATTAATGGGAAACAGTAATAAAAGTGAGATCCGACTAGAGCAAAAAGATCTACACAGAAATCAAAAGATTATAAACGTAGAGAAACCTAAAAAATCTTAAAAGTACTCTACTAACTTTGACCTCACTAACGTCAAAATTTCAATTTTTAAGATGTCGGGATCAGGTGGGGGAAATAAATGAAAGCCAACATCATCCATCCCATTGCAAAAACATAAACTTTCAGCGCAAACCAAATAAAGGCAAACCAAGGTCCACAATTTTTTTCTGTTAATGGTTCTTCTGGCCTTGATGACGATTCACCATGTGTAGAGCTTGATGGTGTACCATGTCGTGAACGGAATGCACGTTTTTTGCGCGAATAGTTTTCTTTCAAAAAATTAACCGAGCGTTTTTTGCGAGAGATCGTACATTTACGATGAGAATGGTCATCTAAATAATAAAAAGATTAGACACGTAATAATGTCCAAATGTAGAGAAAAATATTTAAAAATTTAAAAACAATGTATAACAAAATAATCCCAATAGTTTAATTTATAAAAGGCGAAATCGAGGATTGACCTTCATGATCTGGATGTGATGATGTTTGACCTGGTTCAAAATGTGTATAGTATGAAAATAAATCTTGATTATTTGCATATATTCCGGTAATTGGAGTATTGAACAAAACTAAATTTAATTGAAATTAAACATTATGAACACGTAAATGCTCTAATAATCATTCTGTCAAATAATTACCATCTAGTGCTCGGTTAAAAGAATAACTGTGTCTGTTGTGAGTTATAAGCTTAAGCAATTAGAACCTATGTTAACGAGGATTTATGTACCACTACTTCTATTACCATAGGTACCTATTCCCATAAAATTTTTTTGAGAAGTTAGAGATCTGCCCAGTCAGAGTTAATGTACAAACAGTGATCGTACCGACATAAAAACAAAATTCCCGATTTAGGGAAGCGGGAATTTCCGATTTTTTCAATGACCGATTTCGGGAATATTGTGGGTTTTGGCGGCGGGTTTTTTACTTCAATATCTTTTTACTTCTTATCCCTATAGGGGAATAAGAGTGATAATGTGGAGCAGGGGGATTAGGAGGGATATCATGAGATTTTGGTGGATTAAGAGGGATATCGGGGGATAAAGGAGATGGCTTAGGATTTGAAGATATTCCTACAAAGTTTGGGTGGTACTATTTGAACATATTCGTTAAGTTATGCAATTAAACGATCAAAAATAAACACTGCCACACAATAAATTATTTAATTTTCCTGCTATACCTTCATTCATTTTGACGACATTTTGAGGCTTTCCTTGTATTTTTTCATGTTTTTTCCAATTCTTTAGTCCATAATATAAATAAAACCAAAATTCATAAATTTTAACGTCTGATTCTTCGTAATTATCCGTTTCAAAATTTTTGATGTTCTTAGTTTTCTTTTTAAATTTCTTTGTGTTGCGTACTTAATAATAAAATAAAATATTAAAGAGCTGCACGGGGTTTCTTGTGTCTTAGTCATGGGTTATTTTAGTCTAGGCATTGCTCTGGAGTTTTAGACTTAAGGTCTTGACTTATGGAACCGAAAGACCGAAAGACCTTTCCAAAGAAGTAAATTTTGTCCTTTTTTTCTCACCCACCCCTATTTGAGACAAATATTAATTTTGCTCTTATTATTTTCTGCGACGGAATGATCAAATTTCTCTCCTTTATAAATGTTGATTTTTGCAGTTGGTGTATATTTTTCCTTCCTAATTTCTGTTTAATTTCTGTTCAATTGAATTAAAAAAAATAATAATAAGTGGAAAATTAATCCGTGACTTAAATAGGGGTAAGGGCAGTTATGAACAGTATACCTAAAATCTATGTTATATCATTCTTTAACTCGCCTTTATTTACTAGATCCTTAAACCAATTGTCAGCAGGTTTAAATTTTCTTTTATAGAATTCATCAAATTGTATAAAATGTTGACCACGTCTACCTTCCCCATAATAACATTTACGTCCCCAAAATATACGCTTAGCCATTGGCAATGCAACATGTATCAAATTTGAAAGACCATGGAATGTGTAGAGGGATAAAGCTAATAACAATAATTCTTCATGTGTATTTTCCGTTCTTAATAATATTAGGTTAAATCTCTCTCTCTCTATTTCTATTGAACACTTTTAAACGCATAACATATAAATCAGGGCTGGGCAATTTCGTAATTTCGCGTTTCGCTTTTTTTCGACGCGAAAAGTTTCGCATTCCGTATGTTACTATTATGATTTATTCAAAAACAAACAACTACCCAATCTATGAACCAATCTAATAACCCGGACCGAACCGATATCCGAAGCGGAATTTTCGGATATCCGGAACCGAACGAAGAACCAAACCGCAAAATCTCTGTTCTTCGGTTCGGTTCCGAACCGACAACCCTATCCAATATGCTTAATTGTATATTTCGAGCTTGCGAATAAAAGGAGAGAGTTAAACTGCTTAAGTTCCTAAAATTATTAAAAATAACCCTGAAATTATTTTCTCAGTAAACTTTGGACTTGAATTTAAAAGTATATTCTCAAATTGCTCAATTATATTCGTGGTACTTGTTAGCGAATTGTATCCATCTTCAAGATCATCGCTACCTATGCCGTCTATTCCTTTTATTAACTTTTGGAAAACACTTTTCTTTTCATAGAAATGTTTTGAAAAAGGTTCGAGAAACGTTAAATCTTCACAATTAAACAAATTTAAGAGAAATATATCCCTCAAAAGAAGTAAATAAAGACCGCCATTTGTACTTGCACTGACATATATGTTGTATAGAACACTATGATCTTTTTGAAAAAATTCGTTTCCAGTGAAGAATTTATTTACAGTTCCAAATGTATATCTGAGAATTTTATTCAAATGAAGATCCATCCAATAAATGCTTTATTTAAAGAGGATATTTATTAATATGCACAAATTTAGGTAAAAATATGCAAAATTTTTCAGAATATGCATTGATATGCAAATATGCACGAAAGTACCAAAAAATATGCTATAGGAACCTGTTCCCTAATGTTCGTACCGACGTAAAATCATAATTTTTGAGCATGTTAGCCCATGGCATATCCGAATGCAAAATATGCATTTGCATGTTTTGCCATTCCCTATTTAGTATACATAAATAGAATTTATTCCTCCCAAAAAATTTTTCGATTAAGGTTGGGAAATTTACCTAAAACCTGAAAGCTAAACTTCGGACTATTTTTTTAATAAGATATACATACGAACCGAGTTAGAGAAAATTCAGTAAACCCTTCCGAAAAGCAGGACGGTCATATCGGGACGGACATATGGGATTGGGGTGACAAAAATAATTTCTTGCGTGTTTAAATCTGTTCTAAAACATAAAAACTCTACTCCTCAATAGGACAATATAAGTACTTTCTAAGACCCAGTGGCCGTAGGTTCCCAAATCAGTAGGGTAACTGTTCGTACATTGAAATATCCCTATATGTTCGTCCCGATATGTCCGCGTGCCTTCCAAAACACAAATCAGGCTTTTTATCTTATCCATATCCCTGCTTTTACTTCAGATAAGTGATAACAACGCATAATGTTTTTGGTATAATAATAACAAAAGATCGTGTGAATCCTTAAGCAATCAGTTCAATAATAAAAAGGTCTTAGAACGGAATAATATAAATTAATCTAAAACAAGTTCCGATTTTGGCCCTTCAGTAAACTATCCTTAGCATAAAAATTTTTCAAGAGATCAACAACTTATGATTCGAAATCTTAATTAAAAAATAAAAACCTATGGCCTTCACGTAAATTTCTAGGGCAAATTTCATTTATCCAATTATACAAATTATCAAAAATTCCATTCATTTCAAACGTCCCTCCAGTATGTGTAGGGAAGGAGTAAAAGTCTATTTGTTCAAAATTTGTAAATAAATTGCTGGGTTCTTAAAATTAAAAATTGTTTTTGCTAAAACATTAATGCTTTTGTTAAATGACTTCGCTCAGAAAAAAATTGAAAAAAAATTTCAATGTTTTCACCTAATTCGAAGGCCCTGAAAAAGACATTGTTGATATACTGTGCGTCCGAATTTGCTCGTTGGAAAATTTCTCTAATAATTTCCTTATCTATTGAATATACCACTTGTGAAAATGATGATTCTGCTTTAAACCCCATCATTATAGAATATATTAATTCTTCCGAAACGATGGAAATAACCAAATTTCGATCAAATCCATTATAAGCATCAACTTTTCCGTTCATAGCTAATATACTGGAAAAATATAAAATTGTAAAAACTCATCGCAAAATTTAAAAAAATTTGTCGAGGCTCGCCTCGACATAAATTCCAAATTATTTTCTAATTATTTTTATTAGTAGGATCTCAATTTGTTCACCAGCCCCGAGCGACCGACTACTCAATTCCAGAGACCACTCAATTCCTTCCTGCTTTTGTTTGTAAAATGTTTTGAGAAACAAGCGGTGTAATAAATATTAAAAGGAACGCCTACTCCGATCGGGGAAAGACCATCGCTCGAGGTGAAGAGGTTCCGTTTAGTCCGCTTATTACACATCTTGGGAAAGTTTAAATCCATTAACAAGAAGTGAAGAAAAAGGAATATTAAGAATGATCGCTTCAACATTACTATGTATGATTCATAATAATTTTCTTTTCCAAAAAAACCTTTTTCAATTAAACGTTCATTTTTAATTAACTAATATTTTATTTATTTAATTAATCTAAATTGTTTCAACCAAACTGGTGATATCTAAATCATATATCGAAATTATATATTTCATATCGAAATTATATATTTCAATTAACCTATACTTTTTCTTTGCTTAGGACTTATCTTTTTTGGTGAACCTGCAAGTGGTCGAAGATCTTTGCTTAAGAATTTAATTCACCAACTACTACAAACCAAAGTTGAAATTCGACAGCATTTAAACAGGGGATCATTTTGATTCGTTTATAAAGCAAAAAAACACAAGGTCAGCATAGACTAAGATAAGGCACTATATGAGAAATGCTCTAAATACTCTAAATGATAACTATATGAGAAATGAATCAATAATGATAACATATCATGAATACTCGGTAACTGAGACATGGATTCTAGAGCAAAGTCGCTCTTTTAACGGACCCCGATCATGATTTTTTATTTTACAAAATGTACCTGCATCCCGCTTGAACCAATAAATGCTGATTGGAATATTGTTCAGTAAAAAATTTGTAAAATTTAATATCCAATTCCTCAGCACATGAAATAGACCAGGATTCTACTATGTCAGGAAACGACTGGGCTAATATCGCAAAATCATCGGAAAGAAGCTAAATTGCGTGGTAATTTAAATAATAATTAAAAATTCCAGTTATTTGTTAAAATATTTTCTATGAATCTAAATATCCGATTCGAAATTTTCAGAAATCCGGATCAGATATTTCCTGTTATCGCTATTTCCTGTGACACCTCCATTTCACATGCTTATGTTTATATATTGTTAGATGTTTCACTAATAAACCAGTTCCCAGTTAGTCAGTCTTTGTGAATATATGTGCCTATAAGGAAGAGCACACCGGTGTGGCTCTGTGAAGGTATAAGCTAGGATCTGGCCCCCAATAGCTTTCCTTAGGGAATATAATGGTTTTATGCGCCTAGGTTTGGTTTTAGAATGGACCCAGCATGATTCCACTTAACTATACCTTATACTTTTTGGTATTCTGCTGTTTGCGTATTCCATTAAATCGGTCAAGGAGAAAATTTATTTCATCTTTTTGAAATACACTTTGTAAATTTTTAAAGTTGAGAAAGTTCTTTGTTCCGGAAAGAATTTCTGTCAACTTGTAAATAAGTTGCAGTTCCTGTAAATAAAAATTTATAAATCTTGAAGCCAACGAAGAATTTTTAATTAATCTTGTATCAGTGTTCATAAGCTCGTGCTAAAATTTGTAACCGTACTCGTACTTTGGTATGAAGCACTAGGCCAGAAATAGGGGTGATGAGTAGGGGATTAATTGTAATTTATGAACACTGGTCTTTATTACATAGCATGCCACTCTCCAGTTGAATGCCAATGCCCAGCCTCGTTTTGAAGGTCATTGAAAAATAGATTGCCATGGCAGTCTAATGGAGATCTTACGGTATCCTTTTCTCCCATAAAATACCTATGTGTTTAATGAAGAAATTAAATATCTACTCCGACTTTGAGTCGAAACTTTATTCTAAAAGCACTATTTAAAATATCCACCTCAGTTTTCTGGGTTGCTGCCATTTGAAGAAAAAAGTTCCGTCGCACATCCCGAGGAACTTGTTCCCTTGTTTGTGAAACGAGTTCCGAAATTAAACTGTTATTTACCCAGAATCCAAACAAGTGCGGATTTTTAGTCTCCATAAATCTTATCGATTCAACCGCAAGAAATATTGGTTTTGTCAATAAAAATGCTCTCATAAAATTTTTGAAAATGTCGATTTTTTGCTGATCTTTAAATTAAATCAAATAAGCAAAAATTTGGAAATTCAAGAATTAAATATACTAAAATCCCGAAAAGCTTAAGCAAAATTTTTAGAGTAATTTAAAGTATTTTAAAGTAGAAGACGTTTAGAGTTTAAAAAATTGCTGATAAGCTGTGGGGGAAGAGGAAAAGCTTTGCGGACAAATTAGTGATGCTCGGCTATTTTGTCAATAAAAATGCTCTCATAAAATCCCGATCCCGACTCCCAAGTCGGAAAACCGAGTTTTTGGCCTCCCGATCACGACTCCCGATGTCAATTCCTGACTAAGTCGGGAAATTTTTACACCCCTAAGAATGGCTTTTTCTGCTGAAATTTTATTTATGATTAAGTAAAAATATTAAAATTTTCACCGCTGCGCATAAAATCGGAAATTTTGGCACCGAAGGCGCCAAAATTATGTATTGTAAATTCCCTACTCCCAATCCCGACTCCGAGGTCATTTCCCGGCCCGGCTCCCGTTTCCTGAGTTTTTTCTTCTCCCGAGCATCACTAGGACAAATATTTGCGGAGAGGGAGAGAGTGTTTTGATCATCACTGGCCTATATCTTTAACTAAAAATAATATTTTACCAATTCGATTGCTATATCTTTCATTCAACACATTGGAATAGTTAGTGTAAATTCTATTTACACATTCAACATATCTATTAACATTAAACATCATCTCTCTGTCAACATCTTTTTCAAAATCTCCCTTTTCGCTGAATTGGACCTTTAAAATAAAAATTTTTGTTGAGAATGTCCTCAAGACCGGACCGAGACGAGATCTCAATCGAAAATCTAGGTTATCTAGATAGAGATTTTTCCGAGATCTTGATCTCGATTCTCTTACGACACTCCCAGTCCGTTCTCTAGAATGTCCCATATATTCTCTAATACGGCGTCCGACTATTTTTCGAACCTTTGATTAGCTTAATGCTAAAAATTCTATTACAGGTTAAAATGGGTAGACTACACAAACGATACTCCTAATTTTAGAGGTTCCGTGACTTTTGCGCCGAGAACATTTGCGCCGCGACTTTTTCGTTGGGCGACTTTTGCGCCGCCTCATTATAGTATGGTTGTAGAATAGTTGGAAATTTTCTAATATCCGGATCCAACAACCCTATGTACAATATAGTGCATCCTACTTTTATGACCCAGACCTAATTCATTAGCTACCGGACCCCTATTGTACTTCCTGAACTTCCTTCAGTTCCTGGATAACATTTTTTAAACTAAGGGGTACGTAATTTTTATTACTTGCTCATCATATCCAAATAAGTGAGCTTTGAATTCTTTGCAATAGTCAAGAATACCACCAAAACGGTAGTGGTCGTTAAATAGGGCAAGTCCGTTGAACAAATGTTGAAGCGATTCCAGTGGATCCATATGAATTTTGCCAGATTCAATCGGCAAATATTTGGTCAACAATTCCTTTACTTGTAGCCGAATTGAATTGTTCAGATTGTGTTGGGCATCACAGAAATATTTGAAGGCAAACAAAATGAAAATTAAGGAGAGGATGGGGATTTTTAGGGGAAATGTTTTTGAATTGAAACGGCTTTTTGCCAGCTTCATTTCTGAAATTTAATTTTACAAAATCAAAACTTAAAAAAATGGCAGGAGGGAAAGGTATGAGGAGTCTCATGCCCGCCTTTGTAACGCCAACTCTCATGTGTAAGGAATAAAAAGTTTTGCGTTATTTGGATTAAATATTGGTTTTGAGATCGCCCATGAGTGAAACTTATAAAAAGTTGCGGACTTTCTTTAATAAACAAAAAATGTCTAAAGAATTTAAATTTTAAAAATATATAAAATTATATAAAATTTATAAATTTAACATTGTTTGAAAATATACATTAATGAAGGGAGGGTTTAATAATTTTTAGAGGGGGAATTCATGTAAAGCTTTTTGAGGGGGCTCTCCATCTATATAGAGAGAGAGTGTGAAATTTTCGGTACTACTGAAGATAGGAGGGTTTTTTTGCGGACTTTTTTTTCTGCTGACTTTTTATTTTTCTTCCCTCTCTTTTCTTGCTCAGAGCAACTATCTATCAAAGGATTAATTTGATTATTTGACAACCATATATACCAAATATGGCGTTCATTTTTATATTTTCTAACCTTAAAACAAATTACAATCAATTAAAAATTTTACTTTAACTAAATTATTTGAAAAAATTAAACTACCAGAAGTGGAATTTTAACAATGGCTAACATATTTGGGATGCTCCACAAAAAAGAACATGTGATTGTGGAATGGAAATGCGAAAAGAACAGTATAAACAGTATGGACGTTGGAGGTCAAAAAAACTTGATGTAGAAAAACAAAAGGTGCTTTAATTGGAACATTTTGCCATAATTTCAAACTATCTTTGCAACAAGTCATACAGGTACTTTTTCCGCATTTGTTTTTATCAAATAATTTTTAAGATAATGTATTTTTGGTCCAGGGGACCAGTGGTAAACATAAATCAGACAGAATTAGAAAGGGAGATTGGAGTGTCAGTCAGTTCGATAGTTGACTGGCAAAATTTTCTGCGCGACATCGCCGGAGAATTTTGCAATCAAAACGATCGAATGATTGGAGGAGAGGGTGTGGAGGTCGAAATGGACGAGACGTGTGTTTCACGTAGAAAATATAACAGGGGTCGTATTGTAAAACAAAAGTGGTTGGATGAGGAGTGTTTAAGTGAAAATTAATTAATATGATGTATTTAGGGATTAGTTGCGTTTGCGTGTTTATCGGTTTAATTTGAAAATATCATGAATAGGTTTGTCGATTTCAAATCGAACCGATCGAAAAGCCGAAGATTTTTGGTTCGGTGAAACCTACTCATGAAATAAACACACTTTGATCCAGCAGGTTTACACTTTTTACATAGAATTGTCAGACTTTATCTTCCGTTAACTGCACTATTACCGGAAAATCTTGCAGTCTAAATTAACGGAAGTAAAAATCCGGTGACTCGAAAATAATTTGTCAAGTAAACATAAATTAACTTAAAAAACAAAAACGTAAAAACAAAATGTAAAATATGAGTAAAGACATGTCAGGGCAAAATTCGGTACGACAAGACTCGGTCTTATCAACCATCAATCCAAATGGGTTATGTTCATGTTGGTTGTTTGAAAGAAAATTAAAAAAATTTTTTTTCGTTTCGTGTTTCATTGAAAAAAAATATTTTCTTTCGTTTTCGTCTCGTAAATTGCCATTTTTGAGGAAAAGTAAAAAACCGAGTAAAAAATAAAAAAAGGAAGCTAAATAAATGTAATGTGAACAATTTGAAACAAAAAATCGTAAAAAATTATATTAAATCGAGAGCAAAAAAAATCAAAATTAAAAATGGAAAGAATATTAAAGGTGGAAGAAGAAAAGTGAACAAACGTAAAAGGTTGTTATATATGTTGATAAACAAAGGAGGGAATAAATGTATGTACTTCGTTAATTTATTTTGCTGTTTTGGTGTTAAATAATTTGTACACAACCAAATTTAAAAAAAGCGTGCCCATTCAAATCTAGTTACTTTCGTAAACAGTGTAAATATCTCTAAAGGCAAAAAATCTTCAGTAACCTAAAATAATAAAAATATTTTGAAATAAAAACATGATGAAATTGTAAAAAGGGGAAATTAAATTGAAAACAAAATTTTGGTAAAATTAAAATTCATAAAAATTTAAAAAGTTAATAAAGTGGTTAAGTCAAAGAAAAAATATTGAATAAAAAGTGAAAGGATACATAAACCAGTGTGTATGTTTGTTTGTGTGTGATGAAAAAGTGAAGTAAAAATTAACTTTTCTCTTTTATTTATAAATGACTTTCCTCATTATTTATAATATTTTTCACGCGCCTACAAATACAATTAAAAAATTAGGTAAAAGCATCCATTTACATTTTAAAAAAGTTATATTGATATATTTTTAAAAAAAGTAATAGCCAAAGTTGTTTTTGTTTTCGTTACTTTTTCCCAAGTAATAGCTAAAATTGAGTGAGCGGTTTAACAACGAAAAAAGTTAATATAAGGAAAGGGATTCCTAGATCCACCGGATTCCTAGATCCTAAAACACATATAATTACAGATGTTGCCGAGATCGGATCGTGAAACGAACACCGCCTCATATCAACATAATTCCAAGAAAATCGATGTAAAAAATTTAATTGGGCTGATAGTTATAATCTAGATAATAGAAAATAGTGATTTTTACATAAAGGGCAAAGCACAATTACTTATGCACGATTAACAATTTAACACATAATCATATTGATCTAATTGAATTAATGAATGCGTTCATATCAACGCGAATGAAGGACCCAAGACTGCAAGCAGAGCGATACGAGTGGCAAAATAAGATAAAAATCCATGACTCCCAAATTAACGCCCTGATCGGAAATTAACACCTTGACCTTGATATACTTATATAAAAAAGTATACAGTTTTTTATTATACAGTTTTATACAGTTTTTTATTTCTACTAAAAAATTAAAAAATCAAAACGTCTAAGTTTTATTCATTAAAAAATCATCAAATAAAAATTAAGTTGAATAAAACAATTTTTCCTATTAGATGAAAGGGAAAGACAAAATTTTAAATTAACACGACAGATCCGCACACCTACATATACATTTCAAAAATTAGAGAAAATAGTTCATTTACATTTTAAAAAGGTTTATTGATAACTTTAAAAAAAATCAAAAAACAATATTATCTGAAAGACTGATTTAGTATGTAATCGTGAAGAAATAATAATAGATACTTTCAGAATTAAGGTACTTTATGGATCTATCATGTCGAAATAAATACTCTATTTAATAGATAAAAATATTTATGTAACTGTTATTTGGTAAAGGCCGGTGCCGGAAATGCAAAGAATATTAAAGGGGAAAGAAGAAAAGAGAAAGAATGTAAAAGGTTAAAGAGGACATGTGTTGATAAACAAAGGAGGAAAAAAACTGTTTCGAAACAGTAATCTCTCTTTTCCATAAATTTAATCACAAAATATAAATACTTTTACTTCTTTTTTAAACAAAATAAAAACAAAATACATATGAACTAAAGAAATGTGTGAGAGGGAAAATGGGGTTTACATTGAATGAGGGGCAAAAATAATTGGATGTGGTCAATAAAAGGCCGCGGGACATTGGATTATTGTTGGCATCTGCCAAAATTTTTATTATTTTGGCCGACTTAATATTAAAAAACAGTGTTGTCACATTTTCTGAAAAAGTTAGTTTTTAGATCATACTTTTTTATCAATTATCAATGTAATTATATTTAAATTACTCTCGAGAAAAAAATGTCGATCTTTCTTCTAATCATAGTAGGATCTAACTTGGTTATACCAATTTATCTATTAAATTGAGTTATATATATCAGGGGTCTAGACGTTCTGATTTTCGTTTCACGGAATTTCACAGAATTTTCGAAATTTGGAATTCGATTTAATGTTAGCTACTCAGCAAGATCTCTGTTATATAAAGAGAGAGAAACATAAATGAGAGAAATACATACACAGAATTTGGGTATGCATAAAGTGAGATCCAACAACTCGTCTGGGGTTTTTTTGTTCCAGTTGATGCATTATTAGTTCAGCCAAACTGGAACTTTTTTTCTCCCCTTTGCGCCAATTCTTTCCATTTTTGTATTGTTAACTCCCCATTTATTATTTATTTTAAGACATTATTCCTTTATTTAGCGCCCTTAAAGAGCTTGATTGCTTGCATGGGCAAGTCCATCAACTATTACCGAGATCTCACACATTGCCTGAACCATTTCTCATGTGAATGAAATCTTACAATGTAATAGTACAGATACCGTAGTAAAAAACCGAAAGTAAAATCTAGAAAAAACAATAATTTAATTCGTTGAGGATTTTGTTGATTACCATAAATGCTCTAATAGAACCACACTCCCTATTTGAAGCACACTCCCTAATATAAGCACACCCTACGATAAGATCGAAAAATAGAAGCACATGTGGTTCTATTAGAGCATTTACAGTAAGTGGGATACCAGTGGATTTGTAAGGATCAATAGGAATATAGGAGGATTTTGAGGGATATCGAGGGGGATATAAGGGTACTTTATGGATATGTCACCCCCCTCCTATTTTGAGTCTCAGAGTTTTCCTTATACATAGAAAATGGTCAGAGATTATTTTCTTCTCCATGTCAATCATTTTTCTTTCTTCAAGCAAAATAAGTGAAATGTGGTAAATGTAGAAACGAAATGAGTGAAATGTAAGTACAAAATATGTGAAAAGGCAAAATAAAAAAGCAAAATACTTGAAGAAAAAAACTGATTGACATGGAGAAGAAAATAATCTCTGACCATTTTCTACGTTTAAGGAAAACTTTGAGACTCAAAATAGGAGGGGAGGGTGACATATCCATAAAGTACCGATATAAGTGCTTACATATTTTTAAAAATAATGCAATTGATGCAAGGTTTATTGAAGTATGATTAGGGAACCAAAAAAAGAAAAATTCAAAAATCATATATAAGATTATTTTTAAATTTATTAAAAATTCAATTAATTCTTTAAAATAAATAAAATTTATTTCTGACAAAAAAATTAAACAAATAAATTTTTCAACGAGGATCAATGATTAAATAAAATAAAAAGATGTCAATCAAAAAAAGTTTGTGAAGACATGAAAAAATATTTTTTGATTTACTTAAGTAACAAAAATTTTTAGGAGAAAATTTTAATTTTAAAATCAAATAACTTAAAATTTAAGAGGAAAATATGAAACAACAACACACCATGAAAATAAATTGAAAATACATAAAAACTTGGAAAAAATGTTTGCAAACACATTAAAGTAAAATATAAATTGTATTAGTAAATTAGATTTCCGGAAACATGTTAGATTAAAATAAAGTTTCCGGAAGCAGAAATACAAGTTGAAAAAAAATCCGGAAAATAAACTTTCCGGAAAGTTTGATGAAATAATATATTAAATACAACTTTCCGGAAAACCGGAAAAATATTTAAAAACAAAGGGAGAGAGAGACAAACAAGAGGTCAAAACAGAAGAGGTTTTTAATCAAAAACAAAATATATTGGCCAAGTTAAACAATGAGAGAAAATCAACTCATTGGCAAGTATAAATAGACAATGTGAAGAATGCCCAAAAAAATGATTGTCGAAAAGAAATAATTTAATTAAAGATGTTTAAACAGAATTATTGAGATTTACACCGAATTTAAAAATATATAAATTTTAGGTATTTAATTAGATGATATTAAATTTTCCGGGAGTGTAATTTTCCGGAAGTTTAATATTAAATGTTCCGGAAAAATATAAAATACTACATATTAAAGTTTCCGGAAATATAAATAAAATATGCAACTTTCCGGAAGTGTATTTAAAAACTTTTTCTATTTCTGGAAATATACAATAATAGAGGTATTCTTTCCGGAAAGTAGCTTTTCCGGAAATATTATTTAATTTTCCGGAAACATAAAAAATAGCAGTAAACATTCCTGAACATATAAATTCCGGAAAAATATAAAATATTATCAAAGTTTCCGGAAATACATATAAATAAATTATTCAACTTTCCGGAAATGTACATATTTTAAAAAATTTAATATTTCCGGAAATATAAAATACTAATATTACACTCTTTCCGGAAAATAACTTTCCGGAAACATAAAAAATAATAGTAAACTTTCCGGAACTATATAAAATTCCGGAAAACATTTTTATATTTTTCCGGAAAATTTGTATTATTTAAAAAAGCTTTCCGGAAACTTATTAAAATATCACACATTCCGGAAAAAGAAAAAAATATTCCATTCCGGAAAAACATATTTAAGTTCAAACTTAAAACAACACAAAACAAATGTTTTTAGGAGGTTTTTTCATTGTTGTTGTTGTTGCAATAACAAAGCAGCAGCCATAAACATTTGTAATTGTTGTTGTAATTGCTAAAAATAATAATTTAAATGGGAAGTTTTTAATAATAATTTTTACCGTTGGATCGGTTGCCCCAAAACCTGAAGCACTTGTAGGTATGGGCATTTTGTTGCAGCCATTATTATTAAATGAAGCAGGCAACCCAAAGTTAGGCGTTAAGTTTAAGGAAGGTTGAGGAGGATGAAATGAAGGTGGAGGTGAAGAGAGTAAATTTCCATTGGAAAACTGAAAAATGTATTTTTAGATTTTTTAAGAATAAGAAAAATTGGCTCCTGTCATTATCGCGTTTATACGTCCAATGAAAAGTTTAAGCGTCCAACAACTTCTATGTGTCCAATAAATGCCGATAAGTACCCGATTCTTCACTTTAGTACCATAAAATATATGTGAAAAGAAAGGTGTACTCACCCAGAGTTATGGTACATACGAACATTATCGGACCATAAGTTCTAACACGCAGAACCGGGTACTTATCGGAATTATTGACGCATAAATGTTGTTTGGGCTTATGAACCGGGAAGA